GGTAAACCCAGCTGGGTAAAAAAAACTCCCCATAAATCACGCTCAGCGCCAGCCACATATTCAATCATAGCGCAGGTTCCAAAACACATGGCTAACGATCGTAATTTTGAACATTTGTAGCGTAATAATATAATCCAGATGGGACCACTTGTTCGATGAAAGAACACCCAAATAGACTTTACAGACCAAAATTATACGCAAAATCGACACCACATAGCCTCCCCCCCCCCCCCCCCCCGTGTCTCGATCCGGTCCGCTTCAAAGAGGAACAGCTGACTACTACCTGTGATAACAACCCAGACACTCTTTGCTCGAATTCTTTCCGCATCGTAAAGAGAGAGTGAGGGATTGTAGCTTACGAGTTATAATTCATTTATTGCAATTTAATTACCAGCGTGGAAAGTGAAAACATAGACTTTACAACCCGGGGTAACAGATGTTTTATTATAGTTGATCTGATCGGGCCCGATGTGGGCGTGAGAGAAAATGGGATCAAAGGGCATCGTTAAGAAGAGGGGGGGAGGGAAAGGAACAGAACGAAACTTTGAAGAAGACTTTTGCAACTATGCATTCGTTTGCAATCCATGCGTTGACTTGGGCAGGAAGTAAGAAACGCAGACAAGGAAATCTGAGCTAAAAGCCAGACCTTTTTTCTATTTCCTTTTAAGAAATCTTTCAAGAATTCGAAGGAATATGAAAAGTGTCATTCATTATCGAATTTTCCCCGCGTAATTCAGTTTCACATCAAACTTTATTTTTCAGAAACGCTTCAGGTAAATCGATCGAAAGGGATATGTTAGTTTGAGCTTTTCTGTAGGAGCTTCATTTGAGCTATCGTTATGGAGAAGAAAAATATACAAAAACTCAAAAATAATAAATTCTTGCAAATTTTGGCTAATGATTTGCAGGTCCGAGCGCCTACAGTACACCCACCGTATCCACACAGGCACTTTCAGATCAGAAGATGCGCTTCGCCGAGCTGAATTGAAATGTGCCTCTAGATTCGAAGTTCGTCCATCAACTAAGAACCGGCGATGCGACGCGGATTTCGATGAGTTTCGTGAAAGTTTGGTGATTTTTTTTTTACCAATTATGGGTGGTATTGTAGCTTAGTCAACATCTTTTAATCAGTCACTAGAAATACTCATTTACCAAAACGGGGATCCTTTGTACTGATTGATCCCCGGGTAAATAATGGCACATTCAGGTGCCATGTGGCAGATCGTAGGTAACGAAATAGATTACCCAAAAACTCAGCGAAGCATTTACGTCAATGGAATCAGGAAGATGTGCTCTATGCTTGAAATCAGCTGTTGTTACTAACTATATCCTGGTACAAAGACTATCTTTTCTCGAGCGAAGACGAGGGAACAAGGAGGAAAACACTAAAAATGCAGTGAAGTCATAAATCGGATGGAATGCGGAAACGAGAAGCAGATTTGGAATCAAAGAAAATGGACAAAGGCTCATGGGAGCTTCGGGGCAAAGGCATAAGTTCGATGAGTTATTGCAGCCCGATAGCTTCTCATAATAGGTAGAAGAAAATTTTCCAGCTTTGAAAACCATTTCACTCTGTGGTTACGCTAAGGAAATGATTCTAGAAACTTTTTTGCAGCTTAGACAAAAAGTCAAAAAACTAGCCAGACAGAAGAAGAGATAGAAGTTTTTACAAAGCAGTGCATCAAATGAAGGAATGAGTAAACTAAGCCAGAAACAGTGAATCTTATATATAAAGCTGAATGTCTGTTTGTATGTCTGTATGTCTGTCTGTATGTCTGTCTGTATGTCTGTATGTACGTATGTTCCGAATAGAAAATTCCATTTCTGAACCGATCGGGACCAAACTTGGCACACATACACTTTGGGCCCCGGCGAGTGTCATAGGCTACTTTTCGTCATCGATCGATATCGATTTTATCGATTTTTATCGATTTTTTTGCTGAGTTCACCTACGGGGCTGGGAGTTGGCACAGGGGGGTAATCGAGCATGGGGATTCCGAATACAATATTGGTTTTCAGGATTATCGATTACTTTTATCGATTTTATCGATTTTTTTGCAAAGTTTGAGCTACGGGGGTGGGAGTTGGCACAGGGGGGTAATCGAGCATGGGGATTCCGAATACAATATTGGTTTTCAGGATTATCGATTACTTTTATCGATTTTATCGATTTTTTTGCAAAGTTTGAGCTACGGGGCTGAGAGTTCGCACAGGGGGGTAGTCGAGCATGGGGATTCCGAATACAATATTGGTTTTCGGGATTATCGGTTACTTTTATCGATTTTATCGATTTTTTTGCAAAGTTTGAGCTAGGGGGCTGGGAGTTGGCGCAGGGGGGTAATCGAGCATGCTGATCATCCCCAAGGGGGGTGATCAGCATGCTCGATTACACCCCTGTGCCAAATTCCAGCCCCCTAGCTCAAATTTTCAAAAAATCGATAAAATCGATAAAAGTAATGGACGATCTTGAAAACTAATATTGTATTCGTAATCTGCATGCTCGATTACTCCCCTGTGCAAACTCCCAGCCCCGCAGGTCAAACTTTACAAAAAAAATCGATAAAATCGATAAAAGTAATGGACGATCCTGAAAACTAATATTGTGTTCGTAATCAGCATGCTCGATTACCCCCCTGTGCAAACTCCCAGCCCCGCAGGTCAAAATTTACAAAAAAATCGATAAAATCAATAAAAGTAATCGATAATTCTGAAAACTAATATTGTGTTCGGAATCCCCATGCTCACTTCCCCCCTGTGCCAACTCCTAGCCCTGTAGGTGAACTCTGCAAAAAAGATCGATAAAAATCGGTATAATCGACATCGATCGATAACGAAAAGTGGACTGTGACACCCGCCGGGGCCCGAAGTGTATGTGTGCAAAGTTTGGTCCGGATCGGTTCAGAAATGGAATTTTCTATTTGGAACATACGTACACGGGTCTAGCTGGCAGGCCCGGCGGAGCCGGGCAAGCCAGCTAGTAATAAATACATTTAAACATAAACGCGGACTAGGAAAAACACAAGGAACACAATCGCTTCAAAAGCTTTTTTGGGGTAGTTTTACAAAGACCTAAGAAAAAGGGAATTATCCTGCAAACCCGGAATGATGAGATGATAATGATAAAATAGATAGATGAATGAAATGTAGAGTAAGAATAAAAAGTAAGATAGCAATAATAAACTAGTAAAATATCAAAGAAGTTGAGAAGTAAATGAAAAAATGAGTAGTTTGATCCGCTGACGACGATGTAGACCACCGGTGGCCCACACCTTTTGCAAAGTCATGTTACTTGAGGTCTACTATTTTTTCCACATATCAATATTTATTCCAATTTCTTGCACTTTTGGGGCCCGTAGGATCCATCTTTTGAACGTTGTAATTGTTTAATAGCATTTTGCATTTCGTAAATAACCACAAAACCTTCCCACACCGAAAGTGTTGTGCAAATGCGCGTCGTCACACAGCGCTTCCACGCAGAATAAGGCGTCGTCGTCAATGGATTATGATAAGTGATTAAAGAATGATGACTGTTATAATAAAGTGATTGGAACCCTAAATAGTGGTAATATTCTACGAAAAAAAAGAATTATATCACCCTAGAAAATTCCAAATATGACAATCGTTGAAGGAATAGCTCAATGCTTTGAAAATGAGCATTTTATTGAAGGAAAATCAAGGCTTTCTCGGAAACGAAATAAAATTTTTAAAACCGAAATGAACGCAAAGAATGACAAATTTGCGCAATGAATTACAAAGTGTTCTAACGAAGCCGCTCAAGAATTTTCACTTTGCAAAATTGATGTACACAAAAGTGCAAATGTCCGGACACATGCGCAAATGTTTGTTTACATCAAAAAGCCCGAGCATTTTGATGATCATTCACATTATTTTAAGAAATGAATGAGCTGTGAAAATTTCGTACAATGTGGACGCTGCAAATGCAAGTAATCAAGTTCTTCTTTGATTTCAACTAGTTTCTAGAAAAAATATTGGATAATAACGCTAATCTGAGCAAGTGCTGTTTTCTTCTCACAATCAGACAATTCACTCGAAATTCCGCAGGACAAGCAAAATTTTCATCGGTCCCCAGGATATTGTTTACCATTGCAAAAGTGTAAACGTTGAAAATGGGTACTCCCGCAGGATGCTCACGCAAACTGGTTGAGAACGGAAAATTCCGCCGGACTCCTCACAAAAAGCTGCGAAAACTTCGAAAAATGCCAGCGGTTCCGCAGAACTTTGACCTGCCAGCACTTTCGCAGGTTTTTGTATGTGTAGTCTCTTACGATGTGTGCCGAAAACTAGGACAAAAATAGGACAAGGTTTGAATCTCGCTTAGATGTTTTTTGTGCTGTTTCTACTAAAAATGCTTTCGGAACTTCCGCAGGTGACCATGCCGAGCTTTCTCAAACGTTCTGCGAATTTTAGGCGAATTCTTGGAGGTGGTTCTTTAACGGAATACTCACGCTGAAATTTTCAATGAAGTCTAGGGAACGTGCTAAAAATTTTAGTGACTTGTGAGTGCAATTCATGATGATCTAACAATAAGATCACTTTTTGGACTGATATTCCATTTCTATTCTTTGTTCCCTAAATCAATATCAAAATACAATAAAGCGTATGTTTTGTACGTTCCACGACATGCAGCAAATAGCGAAATTCTCAGAATCTAGAGACTATATTTTTGCGACAATTTCTGATGCAGGAATATGGGAAGGATTTTTTCGTACGAATTTTGAAGTAAGCGGAACATCTTTAGGATCTGCTTAACTCGCCATTAATTAACAGATTGGAAAGGACAGTTCAAGGACTCGCTGTCTGATTGTGTATGTAACCCTGGTAAGTGAAACTGGAGGAAAAAAAATGCACTGTGAAAGGACAGATTTAAAAAAACATTCTTGATTTTCTAGCGAGCACAATTCCAGATGACCATAAAGTGAATGAAAATGTGGAATTAGGAGGACGAAAATCCACAAAAAATGCGAAAAAAATTGTCATACCTTCTGCTTTATCAAAGTCTTCATAGCTATTACTGCGAGCAACTTCGAGTGATTGTCTCGAAGTCGTTGCCGCTGATTTTGGTGGATCTTGGCTGATCATCAGCTCTAATACCACTCGATTGTCAACTGACGAATCTGAAAAAAAATGTAAGAGTTATCAAATGACTTAATTATTATAATCATCATATGGGTATTATTAATTTTTTAATTTGGATGATCACTATGATTATGACTATTATGTTCGAGGATAATTCTTATGGCATTTCATGGACATTTTGAACGGAAATATAATGTAAGGGTTATTTACAGGGTAAAGCGGGGGGTGCGGCACGCCGCAGGGGGGGGGGGTCGTTAGGGGGGGTAGGTAGGGGGGGGGGGTCGTATCGACCCAAGGTCAAAAGCACTTGTACAAGCTGTGTGACTAAATTGACTTGATGAAAGCGCTGTTGAAATCCTGCAAAATTCAAGTTCAACGACACAAACTTGCAGATACCGTACGCCTACCGTAACCTACCGTACCTCTAATCAAGCATAATTGTCGTAATCCGCGTGTCGAATAACCCCTATGCGCCAAGTTTCAGCGAACTCTGAGGTCTCCGAGCAGTAAACAACCTTGTATAAAGCAGTAATTTAAAACATGATTAACTTCATCTTAACGGTGAGTAAGCTACCTCTTTTTGCACTCAATACAAAGCACTACTCCTTCTTTGTCCACCTCAAGAATCCCGCTTCAGAAGACCTCCAAACTATTGAATTAGAAGCCAACCAAAATCTCGTTTTTCCCATTTTTCGCTTTTGATCGCTGTGCTTTCACCAAATATTACTCAGAGCTAAGAAGACGAATCAGGCTCAAAACATCCCTATGGAATCTACGAGGTTTAGGCTATTGATTCATATAAATACTGTCCGCTAAAAATGTTTTTTTGATATAGTTAATGGCCTGCGGCACCCTCCCTCAAAACCTGCGGCTGCCGCAGGTTTTGAGGGAGGGTGCCGCAGGCCATTAACTATATCAAAAAGACATTTTTAGCGGACAGTATTTATACGAATCAATAGCCTAAACCTCGTAGATTCCATAGGGATGTTTTGAGCCTGATTCGTCTTCTTAGCTCTGAGTAATATTTGGTGAAAGCACAGCGATCAAAAGCAAAAAATGGGAAAAACGAGATTTTGGTTGGCTTCTAATTCCACAATTTGGAGGTCTTCTGAAGCGGGATTCCTGAGGTGGACAAAGAAGGAGTAGTGCTTTGTCTTGAGTGCGAAAACGGATAGCTATTTCACCTTTGAAACAAAGTTAACCATGTTGGAATTTGACCATTTCACTTGGGTAGCCTAGTATCTTGAATCCTCAGAATTCGCTCAAACTTTGTCTACAGGGGTTAATTGACATGCTCATTATGGATATGTTGCCCATTATGTTTGACAGGGCCTCCAAGTAATGCTATCTTAAGGGTATAGTCCAGGGGGGGGGTCTTATTAAGACAGCAGTCAGGGGGGGGGGTCGTAACCAGCGATCGTGTGCCACACCCCTTGCTTGACCCTGGTTATTTATTAACTTCGCGTGTAAACTTCTACACGATGCCTATGAAGAAAGAGCGTTAATTTTTGTTTCTTTAATATTCATTCTGCAAAATTACGGCTCTCGTTCCACAAATAACGAAAACGATCATCGTACCTCTCGATTTATTTTGAGATTTTGAACAACATAAATCCGCACAAAAATTGAAACTAGTCGGCATACCAAATCGAAACGCATTAGGTGATTGTGATAGAATTCGTAATCGAAAGTTTTTTTTTTGGTTCGCTCTGCCATGTCAATATATTGGATTCTGTGTCAATATATTAAATTCGATTTAACAAGAGACAAATGCTGAATAGAGAATCTATACGATTCTACTAAAGTTTCGTGTATGAGATTACTTTACGAGCGTATATCAAAAGATAATTATGGCTAAGTAAAAAAAACTTTTTAAGCAAATTAGAAACCGGTAGTTTCTCGTGAAATTTCTTTCCTGGAATCATAAGGGGGTGCGTGGCGTTAGGTACCCAGCCGAGGTATGGGCGTTAGGTACCCAGTCATCAGTGGTATACACTAAGCCACGCCCCTTAATTACTTTAACAGCGGATACCTAACGATACACTAAATTCTAGCTGCTAAAACAGCTTACCTAGCTAGCTAAAGAAGTGCTGGCGCTTGCAAACCACAGAAAAAAGACAGCTGGAGGTAATCAAAAGAAAATGGGTGTATGCCAAGATGAACGATAGCTGGCAATAAGCATACTGTACTCCTGCGGTCGTCAGTATGTCGCACAAAAAGTCTTATTTTATGAAGCTATATGTTCTTCACTGGATCGAAAATGGTGTCGGACAGTAAGAATTAGGGCATATCGTGCTTCCAGCGCTTTTTCCAAGCTTCTAGATAACACCATAGCGTAAATATGGAATTTGAAAAGGATTTGTCCTACACAGAGCATATGGCTGGCACTACCTATCGTTCATGTTGGCTGCCCCCCAAGCATAGTTGCGATAGGGGGAGTGATGGATCTTACCCCCTTGACTTTGAGGCCAAACTCCCGATGACCCCCTTCACCTGGGCCGAGATTGGTATTGTACTCTGAGAATATGATAAAAATCGTCATTAAAAGGAAAGGCTAAGTACCTCAAGCAACAAGTACACTCACAAATTTACAAAAGAAACAGTATTTATTATTTAGTTATAGTTTATTTATATTATTTATTTATCCTCGGTTCATTTGGAGAGCAGAAAGTGAGGACAAAAAAGCAGTTAATTTTGAAGCACATAAAATCCCTCATATCTCGCGGCACAGAAGACCTAGAAAAAAGTCGACGGCCTATGTCGGTTCTCCATGATCTCAGCTTTCGAATGGTATACAGCATGTTAGGGCTTCTTTGCTTCCCGGCTCTAAAAATCATTTGCTCCGGTAACCAATAAAAGCCAATACATTGGTGGAGCTGGGTTGGAGCAAGCTAATAGTAAATATCTCCACCCCATTTTTGAAAACTGGTTAGTTTTTTTGCCCAGCAACCTATATACCATTCGAAAGCTTAGGAAAAGGGGATTCGACCTAGACCGTCGACTTTTTTCTAGCCCCCCTCTAACGAGAGATACACCGCATTCTATCTAAAAACATGGTCATTTTCAACAGCAGATTTCTGCCAAAGGAAGACCTAATCACTGCTGATTATCTATCTGTGTTAAAGACCAAGTCTTCATTAACAAACGTAGACCGTCGACTTTCTCGTAGCATTCATTTGGAGAGCAGAAAGTGAGGACACAAAATCAGTTAATTTTTGAAGCACATAAAATCCCTCATATCTCGCGGCACAGAAGACCTAGAAAAAAGTCGACGGCCTACGTCGATTCTCCATGATCTCAGCTTTCGAATGGTATACAGCATGTTGGGGCTTCTTTGCTTCCCGGCTTTAAAAATCATTTGCTCCGGTGACCCATAAAAGCCAACACATTGTATAGGTCGTCCCGAAAGTTCTTGCGCACGATTTTCAAAAATTCATAACTTTTGATTTTTCAAACCGATTTGACTGTTTTCACTTTTATATGAAAGGGTATGTCATCTTTTTTATAATGACATCTCAGTGCTAACTAATGGTCACGTGTAGGGTCATAAAAAATCGGAAACTTGCAACAAAAATCGGAGCAGTCAGTATTGTAGGTTCCTTCACCAGCTCTTTCTAACAGTGCAAAGTTTGCGCTGATTGAGGGTCTCTATGAAAAGTTATGATTTTCGAGCAAGCAAAACAAAAGGGCGAATTTGGTTTATTTTGGCATTTTTCAGGGAAATCATAACTTTCCATAGAAACGCTCAATCGGCGCAAACTTTGCACTGTTAGAGAGAGCTGGTGAAAGAACCTACAATACCGACTGCTCCGATTTTTCTTGCAAATTTCCGATTTTTTATGACCCTACACAGAAAATTCAAATTTTGACCATTTTTCTTCTATCGCTCAGATATTGCAACAGATGACCATTACTAAGCACTGAGATGTCATTATAAAGAGCATGACTTACCCTTTCACATAAAAGTGAAAGCAGTCAAATCGCTTAGAAAAATCAAAAGTTATGAATTTTTGAAAATCGTGCGCAAGAACTTTCGGGACGACCCAATAAGAGCGAGGTGGAGCAAGTTAATAGTAAAAATGTGCTATGGATTGACATCGTTATCAGCACTAACGGAAACGTGAGCTAACGCATCTAAAGCGTGCTTCTCGTTGTTGTATGTTTATGTTTTTTTGGTTAGAAATGCGCTTTTGATTGACAGTTATGCCATCATTATTAGCACACACTCAAAAAACTATGGGAGATTGGTGAACTCCCACACCTTCACACAAAAATCCGCCCATTTCTGGAATCTATACTCTGTAAACTTAGTGCTGAAGAAGCTAATTTGCAGGGAATGGTTGGTTTTAATGAATCAAAAACTTTAAGACATTCAGAAGAATAACATGTTATTAAAATATCCCTCAATGTTTTGGAAAGGTTGGCAGTTTGAGAAACGGCAGGCAGAATACTTTACAAAATCGCAGATGACTCGCATGTGTTCCAGTTCAACAGCGAGGCAGAAGGAGAATCTTACGCCGACGAAAATGTTGTCAACATTGATACAGAGTTGACAAATGAGCGAAACTCTCTGATTTCCTACATAAGGAATCCAAGCAGATTGCCTATATTCAATGAGGAAATGTCCAGGAAGTCCGTTGCTGATCTTCAGGTTGCTGAAGATTTTAAGGCTGCTAAATTCACGAACATGGATATGAACAAAAGGAAGGTGTTAGTACAAAGCCTAGCTACTGCTCTTACAAGGGAGGTGTTTTCGGTCGAAGTGGCCTTTTCACATGAATTTGACATGGCTATAAAGAGCATCAAACGCTGATTCCGAATCTGTCTTCGCTATCTGCCGAGCATCTCTAGACGTCGAGTTATGAATATTTTCTAGGTGCGAAAAATGAACGCATAATCTAAGTAAAATAAAATTTTACGCTCTTCTCAGCGCTCAAGTAGAGCAGTGTTAAGTATGAGTGCTTCAGATAGAAGGTATTGTTCAAATAAAGTGCTTTGATAATCAACATTGGACCATTTGAGCAAATCTGACAATATTGTCCTAATTATGCATTTAATTTCTCAACTCAAAAAACGCTCATAACTCGACGTCTAGAGGCGCTCGGCAGATAATGAAGACAGATTTGGAATCAGCGTTTGATGCTCTTTATAGGCGTACCAATTTCATGTGAAAAGGCCACTTCGACCGAAAACACCTCCCTTGTTAGATCCCGACTGGAGTGCGAACCCAACCCTGTGCTTTATGCTTTTGGAAGTTATTCGCCTTGTGACATTATGACCTATGATATTGAAAAAAAACTAACGCGCAGCATAGTATCTACTTTTTTCGGCTATTCCGCAGATGCTGTTAAAGAAGAAGTTGAGCAGCTTTCTCATCAGTTAACAGGACGTATGCCAGAGGAGGTGAAGCCAGAGTTTGACAAGGCCCAAAAAAGTATGCAATATTCCCCTCTTGTGCTGCGAAAGCATATGCGATCTCGTTCTTTCCCCATTACTTACCGCAAAAATCTGATGGACTTACTAGCAAAGCTAGTTTCCATTCCGACTAGCACGGCAGAGGTGGAGAAAGAAATTTTCCTGTGTTATCAGAACACAACGCAGAAGTCGTACAACGATGGAGCATCTAAGCAATTACTTAATTTGTCAACTTTCTACTGAACATATTGTTATCTAAAAACCTTATTAAAGGATTGGTATAAGTGGTCCATACAGGCTATTACCGTATAACTTTTTGAAATATCCTAAAAGATGGTATGAAGAAACTGGTCACCTACCTGAGGACTTTCCTGGTACTACAAGAGGGCCAGGAAAAAAATCACAAAAGCGCTTAGAAAAAGAAGAAAGTTTAAATCCATTTTCGACTCAGAACGCTTTTGCACGCAATTCTACTTCTACTCCGATAACCTTTTGGAGGAAGAAAAAGATTTTTCAGGCAGCGAACTTGTTGTCTCTGACGTTAGTAATATTGTTGATGATGATGTGCAGGAATTGAAGTTGTTTCTAAATTGTACATCTTTTGGGATAAACCTTATTGCTTTCGTTTTTTGTTGATGCAATGAAACAGGAGCACAGATCTTCATAAAGTCAATTTTTTAAAATTTTTAATTTCTTTCAAAATTTTCAAAATCTTTTTCAATTTTTGCTTAAATAAGGTGCAAATTAGAGCTCTTCATACCATGTTTTTTTCCTTTTCTCTCTTCCTCCCCCCCCCCCCCCTAGACTCACATACCCCCTTCACCCTGGAAGGTCGGGAACAGCCGAGACCCCCTTCACCTAGGGAGAGCCCGGCTCCCCCTATCGCACCTATGCCCCCAAGAAAATTGCGCGAATGAAACGCAGTTTTGTGCACAACGTTTTTTTCTATCGCTTTTTTTTCATTTTTAGAATCACAGGAAGGTGATGAAAGTTGAAAACAGGGTAAACTTTTGTGAGCACTTCACATATCTAGTTTTGTAAAAAATTGTGATCATCTGACTTAACCGATAATGTCAGCAGGAATTCAAAAAAGCAAACTTTGTAAAATTCTGATAAACCAAATTTTTATGATTTTGACGAAGCAAAGCGCACTTTCGGAGATTCCTGGCAAATAAGTTGCACGAAATATTCCTTTCATATAATGTCGTCGGCCTCGTTTTGAGGTGTGAAGTCAAGAGTTGTAACCCATTAGCGTTAATATTGCGACACGATTGTGAACTACATTGTCGTAGATTACCGCTATTAGTTTAGTGATTGCTGAGGCCAACAGATCTCCTTTGATATTACATTGATAAGCACATCTTCCTATTTTGGAAGATTCACATTCCATGTGAAAATTTCACTGAGCTACTGCGTTTTATCATACCTTCTCTGTAGTGTTTTTTTGGAGGACTTTCATATTGCAGTGTTTCATAGTCATTTTCTATTCTAGCACTTGAAATAGATCAATTTATCAAACCAAAGCTATGAATTTTTTGTAACTCATTAAGAAACGAAAGATTTTGTCAAACTACTTCATTCTATTGGTACACACTCATCCGAAGTTGGCATAGCTCTATAGTAAATTTCATTGATTGAAACAGAGCTAGTGGCCTTCCCACTGATTAATGGGTAGTCACATAGTCCTCCTCAAAGTTCCGATTCCTGATGACAAATTCTCGTCGAAACTCTTCTTCCAATCGATTCCACTTCTCACTGTCAAAAATATAGTTGAAGCATTTTTTGAAACAAAGTAATATTTCCTGCAATTTATTTGCCAGGAGCATGTCCAAAAGTGCGCTTTGCTAAATAATCATAAAATTTTGGTTTATTGGAATTTTATAAAATTTACTTTTTTGACCGCTGACATTATCGGTTAGATCATAAAAGCCTTACCCTGTTTTAACTTTCATCACCGAATTTCTGGGTCTCCAAAGCTGATAAAAAGAGAATCAATGAAAAAACGTTGTGTACGAACTTGCGTTTCATTCGCGCATTTTTTTAATTTCCTCCACTATCTTTTTTCTGTGGGTTGCAAGCGCCAGCACTCTAGCGAGCTCTAAGCTGTTGTAGCAGCTAGGATTCAGTGTATCGTTAGGTACCCGCTGTTAAAGCAACCAGGGAGCGTGGCTTAGTGTATACCACTAATGACTGGGTACCTAACGCCCACTCCTCGGCTGGGTACCTAACGCCCGCCCCCCATCATAAGGTAAGCAAAAAAAGAGAAGCTGTGCTAAAATTCATAAAGTAAACAAAAAGCAGAGAAGAGCTGAGCTGTTAACATACTCGGGGTTGTTTGACATAAAAAGCACACAATCACTCCTCACAGCAACATTTGTGATCTTTTTGTGGGGTTACGGTAGGTATACGATAAGGGGATAAGTCGACAAAATCTCAGGATTTGTTATAAATCGCCATAAACTGATATGACATGCTGATCACTAACATTGCCTCTAGTTGGCTATTGGGTCTCCCTTGGAACTGTAGCGGAATACAATATAAAAGTATACTTACCGTAATCTGCAATGCTATTGTAAAAATAATAACATTCGTGACCAGCATGTCAGATAGTTCCTCTAACGCAGAGTTAAGGTGGATTCTAAGATTGTTTACCTGGTAACGTATACCTACCGTAACCCTACAAAAAGAGCCAATTCTTTCTGACACAACCTTATATATTTGTACAAAGTTGGAACTGGACGATTTTAAGTTGTGCTAAGTGAAACAAACTTATGAGGACGGAAAATATCAAGACAAATGAGGGAAAATTCCAGAAAATGTGCTCACATGATAAGCCCCGCCCACCTGCGAATACGTGGTCGAGTTCCTCTTTATGCAGCGTCAGGGTTTTTCCTTTTGAAGGAACGTCTAGAGCACACGTGTTGATTTGACAGCAGAAAAGCAAAGCACGTTCTTCTCCACTGTAAAGAAGACGAGAGGTATTTTTTGTAAGTGATCAATTGTAAGAAAAACAACAATGGGGAAAGATGCTGCAGAAAAATTGTCCGAGCGATTTTCAAATTTTGCGACGAAAAAAAATCAGAGGAAAATGCACTTACACTAATTGGTGACACTTAATGAGTACATCGCCTCGTAATCGCAACTCTTGCTCGATGTCAAATCGTAGCACATCTTTTGACGTACTGTAAAAGAAATTTTTTGCAGTATTTCAACCATGAAGGTTTATCTAGACGGCTATAAAATCAAAAATGATACAGGAGTTCTATAGAAACACGAGCTTAGACCACCATTTCGAGCGCACCAATCAAAGTCTTAGAATACGGAAAGAGTACGGTCTGGGTGAGAGTGTAGAGCTGGAATTTTCAGCCACGAATGCACCGTATGAGCTCCCATTTGGGCAATGCATTAGTTGAGACTTCCCAATCAGTTCCCACATAATAAACCCAGACATTCAAACTTGCTAAAAGATGTATTCAGAAGCTTTCAAAACCGTCGCCTGGTTTTTCATAGAAGAATCCAGAAAATCAGTTCGTTGTTCCACCTATTATCTTATAAACGCAAAAATCTATCTCTGCTAATGACGCGCGTTTAATTTACCCGAAATGGCCTTCATAAGGAAAACAGAAAATGACGTGAAAAGGAATAATTCCGCAGTCATAGATAAATTCTTCCGATTTTCACCAATTGTATCATCTGACAGCTGCTAGTAATCAAATTTGCACAAATAAATGCCTTGCCATAGGCATGAAGACAAAGAAGGAAGGAAAAAAGCTGAATAAAGAAGAATAAAAGAAGACACTGGAAGAGAGGAATGCATGATCGAGAATCTGATGTTGATCTGATGTTGAATCTGATGTTCCAAAATGTACAGGTATGGGGAAATATGTAAACATCGTTATCGGCAAAAACTTCTAAATTATTGAGGACTGTAATGGGTTCGTTCCATCGATTAAAGGAAATTACTTAAATGACCATGCCAAGCGAATTTCATGAAAATTTCCGTTTACCGGTCATTGATATCATTTTTCCACTTTGAAATATAATTATTAAATTTTTGCTCTGGTCTTGGAGCTCCAATAATGGATTTCCGCTTCTCTTTCAGAGGGATGAAAATCACAAACCATCTGATGAAAAAGGTGTGAGTGTTACTGTTTGTTATTGCCCAAAAAATTGAAAAAATATCGAGATTAGCTCAAAAATTTACCTAGCTCCTGAATCACAGGATCCGATCTCAAAATCCCATTTCCTCTTGATATGCTAAGAAATGAAACTGCGTATGATATAAGGGCTTATGAAATTTTAGCGAGAACAAGAATTACGCACAAATTTTGAAACAAAAACATAACTGTACTCATGTAAACCGGTTTTGTTATTGATGGCAAAAGGTTTTGCGAGAAAACTCCTTCACATTAAAATTTATAATGATGGCAACATTTGACTGATGTAAATTCAAGGCAGGAAAACGTTAACAATGCACCAGGTACCGAGAAATCGATCCGCAAAAGCTCGTAAATGGAAGAGTTGCAAATAAAACATCATATTTCTCTGTAAATGTAAATTCTGCTAAAGACTGCAAAACGAGCTCGGCTCGAGGATAGCAAAAGGAAATGACGTTTGAGCGGAACGATAAGGAGGAAACGACACGCAAAGTGAAGGTTTTTTCAACTCTTATGACACTCTGAAAGTCTTGCATGCATTTGAAGAGCAGAGGTGAAATTCATAAATTTTGCAGAATCGAGGGTTTCTCAAAGATGTGAAATTTTTGATTTTTGGCAGAGTTTCTGATGCAGATTTGATAAATGCGATAAAATCAGTTTTCGGGCAAATCTGCAATTTACCTTATGTGGAAACTGAAAACTTCACGCGACAGGTCATATGATTGATTCGCGGCCAAGAAAATCAGCTCTCAACTTTCGCCCGCACCGTATTCGAGGATGTGGCTCGCTTGAAAAGAGTACGGTACTGGGCGAGAGTCAAAAAATACTAAGCTGCCCAGATTTGTCTGGACGCTGCCTTCAATGAGATGAGGTAAAAAAGAGGATGCTAAAAATTTTAGATCTTACGCCCCTTCGCTCCCTTTCCCTGCCTTCAAATGATTAAAAATGCATAAATGATATACTGCAAGAATTCATGAGGTGCCAAAAAGTTGCCAACAGTTTGCCAACAACTTGCCAATAAGCTGCCAAAAGAGGCGTTAAGACAGACACTTGCGCTGAAATTGAGCCAGCCATGAGATGTTTATTTGACGACAAACGACCACGGCTCCAATTCGGCTAATCCACATAAATTCTTTTGCATAATCAATGCCGGCTTTGAACAAAAACCTCGTCTGGTCTTTTCCTTGGTTGCTGGGGGTATGTTGTCCGAACCGAGTGGTAACAATGCTCAAGCACGGCTAATTGCAGCTGGGTTCGCGCCTTAGTGAGCAGCCAAGCGAGGCGATGAAGTGGACATAAGTAGCATATTTTTCGGATTCGGGGTGCAGAGATTGGAAATTTTCAAAATTTACCTTATCGCGTACTTTTCACACTTCTAAAAAATTCCAGTTGTTCATGGTTTTGGCTTAGAAAACAGACTATCTTCGGCATGATAGAAAAAAAATTGGTAGACGTTCAGGCGTTCTACATTTTGAAATCGTTAGATACCGGTCTGAGGCTCAGGATTTTCTGGATTTGGATTTTGCTGCAAGAAAAATTCTTCTAGGCTTAATTTGTAAATGTGGAATCACTTCGAAATTACGTAAAGTACGAAGAATGCTTGAAAACTGATTATTTTTTGCACATCAAAATAGCAATTTCAAAACATAACAATCGAAACTGTTAAAAATATCCTTCAGACTTACTCTGAAAATGGCCGAAAATTTTAATTGTTAATAATTTTTGGAAGGAAGCAGCACAAGTCGCAAAAATCGATGACACCACGAGAAAGCCCCAACTTTGCAGAAGAAAAGTGCTCTCCACCACAAATCTCGCCGTACACCTTGCACACTTTCAGAAACCATTCTTCATACTTAAAGTGCAGTGTTGGAAGAACCGCTTTTGCTGATCTAATTAGTAGGCTTTTTTAGCTAGCTTAGCAGTTTCTAAGATAAGAAAATCTATTCCAAAATGGCGCCTCCAATCTGTTGATTATTTGAAGTTTATAAAGATCTAGGTTGAAAAATGGGACTTTTAAATTATAAAAAGATAAAGACTGGAGACTTTAGCTCAGTTATCGCCCAAGTGACAGCTCAAGTGGTTCATTGGCGAATAAAAAGCTCAACCTGAATTCTCGCCCATACCGTATCCAAAGACTCTGATTGGTTCGCTCAGCCCAGTATTCAAAACAATACAGTTCTGCCACTACAAACAAACATACCTTGGCTTTGTTTCATACACTGGCTGCAGTCGTTCGTAAACCTTGAATGACAATACCCGTCCAATCATATGCGATACAGCGATGCGATGTAAATAGATCGGGGCTGGATTCACACGAATCTTTCCAGAAAGAAGCGAGGAGAAGTAAACTATGTACCTAAACATATAGATAGTTTCAATGGCATGAAAATTTACCATGAAATAATAATCCGTGCATTCGCATAGACTTTAGGAAAGTAAATGAGCAAAACTGCAAGCAAAGTACACAAAAGGGAGCCATTCAAAACGGCAAACTCCTCCCCTATAAAAGTCTCCGCCCATTTGCTTGGATATAACCACATACATGAAAGATTAGAATTATACATTTTTAAGTTTTGACGGGCGCTGATTCGTGGGAAAAATCAATTCCTGCCAACATAAAAAATTTCTCGCCAATCCAAAGAACCTTTTTTCGCTAATTTTTCTTCTAAATGTAAATGATTACCCACCTCTTATGACTAGGCTGACCATTGGCTCCGATATGTTTGTCTGCAAATTTTTTCATATCATAGCGATCTTCGACAAATTCATCGCTGAAAAAGGGTAGAACAAAATTTGAAAAGTGACAGAAATTCTCAAAAAACTTACTTGCTGCATATAGCATTATAGTGCATGAAAGCCGCCAGCACTATCGCTGCTCGACTAGAATTTCCCTTAATTTACAAAATTTTTCTATTAGTCTAAAACAAGTCGTGTGAAGGCGACAAATTTAAATTTTACGCGCAAAAAAAGACGCTCTGCCTTTATTGGTCAAGGAGGTCTCGGCGCGATATAATGACGCGGCGCAATACTGCGTGAGATACATGGCGTTTCGCGCGTATTGCGCCCCCCCCCCACAAGCAAAAATGTAAATTTACCTTGCAATGGATAACAACCACATTACTGCTACTAATCGTAAGCCACTGCTCGAATTGCTTGCAGAGCGCGCATAGTCGATCTAGCGGTGGCGCCAGTCTAGCAGGCCAACCAACATTTTCAGCTGCTAGACATCGTGACAGATCGTTACGTGGTCGTGACACATTCCAGACCTAAAAACGATCAGATAGTGGGTCAAAATAAGCTCGATATGGCCAAAACTTACCTTGTAATGCTCAAAATGCTTCGTTTTCAACGTGAGTGCCACAGATTTGAGTGAGGCTACATAAGCCTTTTCGGTTCCCTCATCGGGAGAGCATAGAACTGCAAAAAATATTTTTTCCAGACTGAAACCCACAATTTCGACAATTTAGTTCCGAATTTGCTGTTTCACACTGTAGATTCAATATCATGCGGAAATCTGTGACTTGTATAGCAAATCAATCGGCGGTTGGGTTAATTCTTACGTTACTGGGGTGCTGACTGGTCCCTTGGTAAGATTACGGTCTGGGCGAGAGTTTGAGGCTAAGTTTCTTGGCCACCAATGGCTCATATGGGCTGCTATTTGAACGAAAGGTCAGCTAATACCTTCCCATAAGTTCTAGTATAAGAAACCCAGGCAAGGGACAGATACAGAAAAATGCAAAGAAAACTTCCCCCACCCCTCTCCCCTCGCCTTTCCTTAGAATGACTTTGTTTAATCTGAAAAAAATTGAAATTTTCAAATCACTTTTTCTCAAAGGGTTTCTACTATTATAGAACCTTTGAGAGAAATTAATTCATTTTATACAGAGGAGAAGTAAATGTACTTATTTTTTGAAAGATAGGTAAAAAAATCATAGAATACTCCTTACCGATTATTCTCGGAGTAACATAGTACAACGTTAGACCTTCTTCTACAGGTCCGCGATTAACCATCCGACCGTTCTGAAAAAAAAAGAATGTTTCATGAGATTCCCTGCCAAAAAAGGCTATACTACAAAGAGTAAAGTAGGATGAGAAGAATGAGGAAATAGAGTGAAATGAGGAAATGAACTTTAGAGAAAGGTTTACGATAGATCGAACAAGGAGCATTGCCTCCAATTCCGTGTTTTTCTAGCTGTGTCTGCAAAATAATAGAGCGGATGTGGGCTTTTCCGGGGCTGCAGGTGAGGCCGTCGGGGCATCAGGTTACCGTGGGTCACCAACAAGCTTCGAGAATATAGGCACAAGCAATTAGCTTTCTCGAGCTGGAGGTGGGTGTTTCTACGATTTTTCTCATCGATGGTGGTATCAGAAATTTAGGAAAGGAGGAGGCAGAGAAAATTTTCTGAATGAAGATGGTGAAGTCAATCACCCAGTTAAAATACTATGGAATCAGAAACGACAGCCCTCCGAAGAAGTTTTGGGATGCCTCACAATTTTTTAGCGAAAACAAAAAAATTATGAATTATTGATCGTGTAGGAATCACAAAGCTAATATAACTCAACAAATTCAAAAAAAAATTGTCTTGGTCACTTAAAACAATCGCTTGCGTAATTATAGCTCAAGCAGATAACTACAGAATTCTTAATGTTCATTTTGAAGGAAGAGAAAAGAAAGAGAAGGCCCTTAGGCCCTCATTGCTTCTTAAATTTGATGGAATATTGCGCAAGAGAAGGAAAGCTTGAAAGTGCATGCGATATTATATAGTGCTGTGAGCGAGTATAAACAAATCAGATTTAGAATAAACAAATTATAATTACATCCTCCATGAATGTAATTAACTTTGAGAAATTGTCTTTGCCAATTTTTGGATGAAATTGCCTGATTTAAGGAACTAGTTGAATCTACAAACTCAGATAAGGCGTGATTTCGAAAAGATAAGACTCATTCATCATTTCCTTATTTGCAAATCGAGCTTTGACGGATGGAAAAGTAGGAAAAAATGGAGAAGAAACTTCTATGTGTTCATAGGATGTTGCAACAGAAACAAGGAAGCTATCTTAGTTACGTATGAACAAAATTTTAAGTTACTTCTGAGTTTATACACTCATTCATTCGAGCTGTGGGAAGAGGACTTACTGCCTACAAAACTCCATTTGAGTAAAGAAATGTAAGCAACCATGATGCTTTGACCATTTCTTAAAGTTTCTTCTAGATAGTAGAATAATAGAAAAATGCCTATAAATTTGCAAAAGATAAATTTCTTTTACAGAAGTTTGAAATTTTGCACTAAAAGGTCATCTCAAAGTTTTGGATTGTTCACTCTGGACATTGCAAGATTTTTCAGCTACAAAGTGCAGTGACTCAGCCAAGTCACCCCTTCCCCGTTTTCGGAAGTCCATCAAATGCGCAAAAGAATTACACGAGGTCAAGACCGAAACAATAGCTAGAGAGTGAACCGAAAGCGGAGACGTGGCTAAGCTTTTGCGGAACAAACGGCGACAAAGACAGATAACTGACGAGTTTGTCGTCCGACTCGCTATAGCTAGAAGCTAAATTGAATATAGGTGCAGATGCTAGGTGCAAAAAAAGTGACCAGCGGGGAACAGCGCGAGGAAAAAGTTGTGGCCAAATGACTAGCGCTGCTAAAGCTTTGTGATTAGATTTTTTGGTAGAAATTAAGCGTCACATCATCAGAGAAAACTAGATTGCTATGAAATAGATTCTTAAACGTTTATCGCTCGTAGCTGTTCTCTAGCAAGACTAGATTAGATCCCAGCTCGGAACGAGGTGGCTTTTGGAAAATGCATTTCGTAAATTTTGACGAAGTCCCGTTTGACCCTAGACCTAGACGTAAGAAAAAAAACCTCAAAAAACGAAGCATCGACAAAAAAAGCATCACAATTTTTGCGTCTATTCGGCCACAAAAACGATATCCCATTTGTGCTTTTGTCCCAAAAACGATATCCAGCTTGACCCGGTGCTAGCTGGGCCGAGCCCTGGTCTTAGCTGTCATATGTGTCCTTGTCATTATTTTCAATATTCTGCTCTTTTCTCTCCTTTTCCTCAAGTTGTGAAATTATTGATTGAGCTCCCTTATAAGCGCAACCGATGGAAAAAATTACCGCAATCTTAGCCTTTTTTCACAATGGGCTTTTTTCCTTTGCGAAAAGGAATAATCAGAAATAGGTTTCCTCGATGGTTAGGCCAAAATAGTTCGAAATAGTTCAAAAGATAAGAAATAGTTCGATCTTAAAGGTTGATTTACTGGCTTGGCGCTGGAAGGCGGAGCATCGTGACCTAATTAAAGCTAGATAATGATCAGAGAGCACGCGCGCGAGAGAGACGCAGACTGCATCGCGGGCACGAGCGGCTTTGATTCGCTCAAACATGCATTTGAGCGACGTTCAAACGTTTTCCATGATGAAATGTGAAATGAGAAACTTACAGTTTTTTGATTTCAAGAAAATGATTGCAACTCATAGAAAGTTATACATTGAGTAATTCATGCATTACTGCAATAACCGAAACCGAAAATGCAAAGTGCAGGTAAAGGTGACTCAAGAATCAAAGCAAAAACTGTTGTTTTTTTATCTGAATATCGAATTTCTTCCACTCAGGTAAACACACTTGCAGGTTTTTGTTCTGACTCCATCAAAGATATTTTCTTCCATATTTGGACAGCATAGAGAAGAAGAAACTGGTGAGAGATTTTAGTCAAGATAGTGAACAAGAAGTGAAATAGTTTGAAAGGTTATGGACCAGTAAGAAAGCGGGGAAAATGTATCTAAATATGTGATATCTCGGGATCAATCAAAAATTTATAAGTTACGTCAAATAGCAGCTACGAGAATGTGAAAAGAATTACTAGTGGCTTTTCTTAGAAATCTAATCAGAAAGAAACCAGAGACTCATGCATTCATAGAATACCAGAGCACGTGAGAATTATGTATGCTTTAAAAATAATCTGGAAAAAGCTTCGGATGGTCTTCTCAAGTAAATTAGCTTGAAAAGCTGGAAAATGAATCGAAAACTTATAGAAAGCTTTCAGTGCTTAATAGCACTGAAAGTTATTTGAATGAGTAAATCAAAAGACTCTGTAAGAAAATTTGTTCTTTGGAGAACCTTCGCATAAGGTAAGAATCTCAAAAAATGTTGCTGTAGCTAAAGAAAAATTAGTCCAAAAATCAAAAAAACAGTGACATGAACTCCAAAAAAATTTCATAAGAAGTTGATGAAGTAGAGATCTTAGTAGTTTATTTACTCCTTAATATTCAAGAAATAAAGGAAAATCATGATAATGTAAAGTAAATTAATGTATCACAAATTTTAGGTGTTGATTGGAATTGAAAGAGAAGAAAATTATCAGATTATAAGCAAGCTGGATATCGTTTTTGGGACAAAAAGCAAAACGGATATCGTTTTTTGTTTCCGAAATGAGGTTTTTTTTCAGTTGACACTTCGTTGTTTAGTCGATTCGGATATTTATAAGGGCCGAAGACACTTCGTAAAATTTTTGGAAAGTCGGAATTTGTTTTTTGCATTTTCGGAAAGCCATCTTTAACATCACAGAGCTAAAGCAAACCAAACTACTTTTATACGACGATAATGAGATTCGGGACAGCGACGCCCCTAAAAGAATTCACAGGGAAAAGAATAAGATCGCAAGAAAATGACGTGGGCTGATGCACACCGATGACGAGATGTAAAGAGCCCAATTCCCCAAGCTCGAAGAACTTCGTCCAAGCACGATAATCGAATTTTCTCGACCGTTGGCTCAGTTTTGATTAGCGCGCAGGCATTGTTTCTTCCGGTGCTGGTGGCGATGGGGCGCGTCGGGGATGATTCTGTGTGGAACGCGGGGTCCCCCGAGGGCCCCGCGAGTTTCTCTGCAAGTCATCCGACGTTCTGTTTCTCCAGCATTTCACTTGATAGATGGCGACGTCTAGTTGCCCTCGGGGAGCTTTCTCTATGGCGCTGAACAACCCAAAAGACCGGATTGAGTGATAGAGTCAAAAGTACAACACGAGCGATGCATATCGATGCACTCGACGGGTAGCAGAGACGGGGAAAAGGTTGTTTGAGACGAATTTGCCCCGTAAATCGCAGCTCTCGGGAGGCTTGACGAGATAGAAATGGCTTTTCGAAGCATATTTGTCAAAAGTGCATTCCGTCGAAAATGGTTAAGGGGGTAGAAAAAGCCCAAGAAGGCAATTTTTCTGATTGACGTAACAGTGAGAATAATTATTTTTACATCTAATAATAAGATCCTTCTGAGAAAGAACGGACAGCAAATATTTTTACGCCACACATTTATCGTGACAAAACCTTTGCAAATCATAGCTTTATAGAATCGAATTTAAATCAAGAAACACACCACTAAACTGCTGAAGGTCCGCCTCAAAAATATTTGAAAAATACATACAACCCGCTATTCGTCAAAAAAGTCACTGAGCACAGCGCTATTTTCAGAAAAAGCATGTCATGTAAAAAGGTTTGCTTCCTTTTTTGAGAAGAATTTGCTCACTTTCTGAAGGAGTCTTGGCAAGAGTACAAGAGCATATACAAAATATCAATTAAAAATGAAAAACTATTAAATAATAAATTGCGTATGCGTTACCGTGCAGAGGCATGGTTTTTTGAAGCAAAAGTTCATAGAAACTGATTAGAACGTAAAAATATTGACCACTTCATGAATAGGATTTTGCTTGAAAAATTTGAAGAAACTTTTTGTACGTACTTTGGAAAATCCTTCAAACTAACTCGATAACCTCATGAGTTCGAAATCTCTCAACTAGAGAATGTGCGCATGGAATACGTCAAAGCGCACTCGTAGCTCATTGTTTCGGCCATCGACGGCGCGAAGATTTTTCTCTCAAAATTACTACCCGAAAGCCATTGCGCATGAGTGAGCACACACTCACACGTCTTGGAGAGACGCCCGCATTCAGTGAGTATGGACATTCTAGGATGACAGGTGCGCACAAATTCCCGTACTTTTAATCTAAAAAATCCTGTTACGCAGAAATTCTCAGAACTTTCGCAAATCAGGCGAAAATGGAAGCGGTTTCGCAACGTTTTGTTTACTGGTGGCAGAACACGAGTGTAAACGCGAAGTTGCGCATTCAATGGGATCGGAAACGGGAGCTTCCGCGACGCTTCTCACAAAGCACTGAGGAAGTTGCATTTTTGTTGGAGGTGACCCGACGGAAATCTGGATCAGATGTCGTAATCCTTGATTCAACTGGCTTGGCTCCAGGAAGGCGGGGCTTTGTGAACGATATGAGGCCGCTTGCGCCCGCGACGCACCTGAGTCTCTCTCGCGCTAGTGCTCTCTGATCATTACTTAGCCTTGATTAGGTCACGAAGTCCCGCCTTCCCGAAGCCAAGCCAGTTGAATCAAATGGTTATGCTCGCATTCATACGATAGAATGTCACAAATAGGTTGCCAAAAATACAAGAAGAATAATTGCAAAACTATTTGGGATTTGTAGTAATTTGTTTCTGTTAGAATGTTAATCAGATCGGGACAAAGTTGAAATTTTGACAAGCGTACAAATAATTTCGTAAATGGCCGACGAGAAAATTTTCTATTGCCTATGTATAGTAGTCTTCTGGTAAATTCTAGAGCATTTTATGTTGATTTCTGGAATTTTTATTCAGTCGGCTTCTCTGGTAAAAGACTGCTAACAAACTATAATAATCACCAATTTGATCCGACAGCAAAATACTAGGTTGAACCAGAAGTCCTGTCGCACCATTTTTCAAAAAATCGTAGCTACTTCCTGTCACGATGTTTTTGCTTGATTGTCTTTTTTTTCCAAGAGAGCAAGTCCTGCACTTTCTATAGGTATAAGACAAATTTGGAAAAAAGAAATCACCTTATTTTTGAAATTTTGAGGCCAGCCCGTTAAAAACTGCAAAACTGTGCTCCAAAATCCATAACAACCACTAACCTAGGTTTAACCCTCTCTTTCTATCTGAGCAAAATTCGAGCTGATCGAGCTCTTCCTAAAAAAGTTATGGTTTTTGAAAAAAAAATGCTAAAAGATTAGTATTTTAAGAAAATTGGTTTTTCTAGGTGGGCCCGAAAATTGTCGCTTTTTTAGATCTATCTCACATCATTCAGAATAAAGGTAGACAAACACTCTAAACATTCTTCTATGCAAAATGTCTTTCTCTTTTCAGCAGTGATGTTCAAGTTCGGATTCCTTCGATGTTCTTTCAATTAATAGCCACAATCTCCAACCCATGCATTCTATGTACGTACCCTAATTTCAGCTATTTTTTGAACCCAACAGTTGGATAGCGTAAACAAAATGCTACAAAATCCAATTTTTCGGCATCGATAGCTGGCTTTGCATCTCTAAAACAAGTTTTGCAAAAGTCTTCAAATTTGAAGCCGTAAAATATGCAAACGCTTCAGGACACTATGGAATGTCCGCAACATGGATTTAAAAATCGATTATGATTAACGCTAATTTTAACAATCAGATGAGTTTCTAGGCCTCGAAATGCTGATTTTTGAACTTTTCGGGTGCAGCCTGAGCATCAAAGAAGAATTATGGCAGTTTTTCCGGCGCTTTCGGCTATCAGGGCCCCAAAATTTTTTAGTCATGAATTTCGCTCAAATTTGGTCCAGGGGGGTTATCTGACATGCTGATCATGATTCATGAATATCACCTTTTCTTCGCAGGAAAAGCCTCCCTGCAGGGTTACGGTGGGTGCACGGTAGGGGGTCAAAATCACGGATTTGCCCGAAACTTGGCCCAGAGGGGTTATTCGGCCCGCTCATGCTGAATATCATATTGGTTTTGTACCGTAGCGTCATTTCCTCGGGTTACGGTGGGTATACGTAGGGGTCAAAATCTCAAAATCCGCTGTAACTTCGCACAAAGGGGTTATTCGACATGCTGATTAGAAATGTCAAACTTTCTCCGCACGAAAACGTCTCCCTGCACGGTTACGGTAGGTTTACGGCAGCGGTCAAAACCACAAATCGGCAAATGTATCCTTCCCCTGTGGTTTGCTTAGGCAAAAGCCGCAACAGGGTACAGTCGCTTCATTTCATATGATCATGTGTGCCATTGCACACACAGTCCACTTTGGCGTCCTCATCCTGGATATGCAATCGCAAAAACGCAAGAGACTTACCGATTGTTATCGATTACATCAATTTGAGGTGACTAGTAACTAAAAAGGAAAGAAAACGCTAAGAACACCTTGGAAACACTTACCTGAAGGCTTGTTTCTCCCATGAATCCAGGATGGGGACGCCAAAGGTGAACTGTGTGTGCAATGACACACATGATCATATGAAATGAAGCGACTGTATGTAGCGCGCAACGGTGGTCGTGCGTGCAAAGCTTCGCGATCGTCGGAATCGCCGTACACCCGTTTCAGGCAGAACTATGTTTTACACACGTTACCGTGTAGCAACCGTAACCCGAGAAAATGGCGCTACGGTTCAAAACCAATGTGATATTTGGCATCAGCGGGCCGAATAACCCTTCTGGGCCAAGTTTCGCGCTCCGTGATTTTGACTCCTCACCGTAGTCGTACCATACTCTACCGGATGGCGCTGCCGCACAAATAAACATCACGTGTTCAGCATGCCAAATAACCCCTCTAGACGAACTTTCAGGCAAATCCGTGATTTTGACCCCCTACCGTGCACCTACCGTAACCCTGCAGGGAGGCGTTTTCCTGCGGAGAAAAGGTGATACCCGTTATCAGCATGTCAGATAACCCCTCTGGGCCAAGTTTGAGCGAAATCCATGACTAAAAAATTTTGGGGCCCGGATAGCCGAATAGCGCCGTTTTTTCGAGGCTTTTACGAATCAGAAAGAAAAAAACATCTGTCAAAAAGAGGAGAAGAAACTGCATCGAATGACACCTTAGCTGTTTGCCGTCTAATGTTCTACGAGGTCTGGGACAAACTAATACCAAGGTTGAGCATCTAAATGAAAATTTGAAAAATTTGAAAAGTCAGCTATCGAAGCAACCAAGAAATCGTATAATATCAATTTGTTTACTCTAACTGATTTTATTGAAGAATTTTGAAATGTCCAGGATGAAATTTAAAATCGTATAATATCAATTTGTTTACTCTAACTGATTTTATTGAAGAATTTTGAAATGTCCAGGATGAAATTTTAAAAAAACAAGCAAAAGTTAAGGTTCTGACGACTTTTTCAAGCGAACATCAACGGAATCCGAAGAACAATAGTGCTAGAAAAAGAAAATTCTACATAAAACGTTTTTTAAGTGTTTGCCTATCTTTATTCTGAATGATTTAAGTCTAGAAAACGGCACGAAGTTTTGGACCCACCTGATCTTTGAACAAAAGAAGAATTTCTAGAAAAGTGCAAGTTCCTAGTCTTCTTTAATCTTCTATGCAGCTATGACTACAACAAAGGAAATACATAGCTTTCCAGCCAGAACTTAGTACTGGAGTTCTTCTGATAGGCTGGGGTTAAAATCAGACTTTTAGACAGAACTTGCTGTTAAGGACATTGTGAAACTTAATGTTAGTGGTCTGTGTATAGAAAAGTTTTCACTTCAAGAAACCATGAGGCATGAGACCTCAATGTGCAAATGACGAGGACCTCACAAAATTACTTCTAGATGCCAAGAGTATTTCCCGCGAGTGCCTTCAATATTAGGCTATCATATTTCAACGTAGGCGCAGCGAAAAACAAGACAGGCTTATGCTAACCGAATTTTTCTTTGAAAGAGAAAAACAGATATAGAAAATTGAGAAGTGTTGAAAATCATGTGAAACACTCACAGATGGTGCGACATTTGAGCTAGAATTCTTGAGCGCATCTCCATAGGCAGCATCTGCCTCCTGAAATCAAGGCAATTTGAGCGCTTCCTGGCAATAATAGAGTGTCAGCAAAAACTTGTTTGAAAATGTTGAAGCTGCCTGAGAAAAGCGCAGAAATGATAGGCAGAATTTTTCATGGAGCACGAAAGACAAAGCCATTCACTGGAGCAAATCAATCGAATAAATTTTTCAGATATCTTTATTATCTATTTGAAGGTTTTTCTCCGCTTTACCGACGAAAAAGTTTGATATAAACCTGATTATTTTTGCAGATACTAGAAGGGAGAAAAAAAGAGAACTTTGATTTGAATGAAAGTTTACAAAAATAAATCTGAATATTCACTAAGCCTTGTAAAATCAAGTAAAATATGTATCATTTTATTCTATGACCAGGAGACGCGAGATTGCATTCCTCACATTGCCTAAACAAGCCTAATCGTGTACTTAGCAAGTTTATACTTGTTAATTATCTCGTCCAGGTTTATTCACTCTTTGGAAACAGGTAAGAACAAACTCAAACTTGTTAAGACAATGCCAGCAATGCGGTCTCGCATCTCCCAGTCATAGAATATGTAGATGATAAATGCAGCTGTCATTAACTCATTGATGACGATGTGGACCACCGGTGGCCCACGCACTTTTTGCCGCCAGTGGCGATGTGGCCTACCGGTGGCCCACACCCCTTACAAAATCATATCCTTTCCATGTCTAGTCTGTTTCCCACAGCTTGGAATTTTCTATGATTTTTTGCACTCTTGGAACCTGTACATTTCATCCAAGAAGATTGTAATTGTTTACAAAACCACTTTACATTTCGTAAATAATCACAAAACTTTCACATGCCGAAAGCGTTGTGCAAAATCGCGTCGTCCTAAAGCGTCACCACGCAAAATTAGGCGTCGTCGTCTGGTTAATCAATTCTAAATTTCGCGCCCAGAATAGACCCCAATACAGGTCTCGACACGATATTGACGTGGCGCAGAAGTGGGCGGTGCTTCAATTTGATGTGTTGAAGGTTGATGGACGTATCGTCGCTTTTCCTTTCCTAGCCTTCAAATTTGCTTCTAGAATTTTCTCTTCTTTTTTCCAATTTATCAAAATTTTCCCTCCTCGAGCTCATAAATATTATTCTGCTGATCCGAAAATCTTTTCAAGTGGCCGGTCAGCATTCCAAACGCATAGCCAGACGCATCGTGAGTCCTTGAGATTCTCATTATCAAACAGAGCAAACACATCTGCAAACAAGAACGCTTGGGAATTCGGTGTTTTGATAGGAAATCAACACAATATGTGAAGGAATTGACGGAAAATTCCCTTACTTTTCAGGTTCCTTTACCTTTACAATACAGTCCCCATTTGTTACTAATTTTTTGAAAAAGATAAAGGTCCAGATTCATGCAGGAAGTGAGAATTATGAGGGGAAAGAGATCCATCTGCATAGAATGAGATTTCAGTTTTTCTCGAGGCGGACAGTAGAGAAATTTCAGAACTGATAGTCAACCACGCCCCTAGAAAAAGTTTTTTCGCATGTCTGAACTTTGATGGATTGCCCTTTGATTCAGCCGCCTTGGCGGCTGGAAGGCGGGGCTTCGTGACCTAGTTGAGGCTAGATAATGATGAGAAAGCACGCGCGCGAGAGAGACGTAGAATGCGCTGCGGGCGCGAGCGGCCTTAATTAGGTCACAAAGCCCCTTCCAGCTGCCAAGCCAGCTGAATCAAAGGTTGGGAGAGTATTTCAACCGTTTACAGATCAAACCAACTCTTCTGATTTAATTTTACAACTCATGTAGACATTGAAAATTTTATGCCTCCCCCCCCCCTCCCCTGATCCATCACTACCGCGAAGTAAAGGTGTTGACAAAAAAATACTGTCTAAACACACAAACCCCTGAAGCAGATGCACAAACAGCAGCATCCGCTAAGTGCTTCGAGCCATGAAGCCGGTTGTATTAAATCCTTCTAAGCTGCTAAGAACAGTACCCATTAGATGTGATCAATGGCCTCGTAAACTTAATGCTTACATCTAATGTGTTTACGACCCGGAAACTGCAATGGTTTGAGGGCGCAAATCTCCACAGCTTTTTATGTTTACGACTAGGTGATGGATTGGGAGTGATCGAAAGCAAATGGTAAATTCCTAACGACAATGGCAATTTGTCTGACAGCGTACTATTTCTACAATAAAACCCTAAAGGTGGTGTCAGGTGAGTTCAGATACGCGGGTTTCCTGGTGGAAAATGATTGGAAGACTCTATCTAACCCACTGCCCAATCGGCAGCTCGTATAGTTCGATCGCGGCCAAGAAAGTCTACTCCAATGTATGGCCCAAACCGTACGCGAGAAGTGAATATCGATCGGTTCGCTCGGCAGGAGTACGGTAGTGGGCGGGAATTAAAAGTCACCTTTTTCGGCTGCGAATGAATCACACAAGTTGCGAAATGGAAAATAGCCTCATGAAAGTCTCTTAGTCAGTACCAGCTAAAAAGTTTCAGTACGTAGATTTGTCCGGACGCTTTCTTCAAATCTGAGTGTTTGGACTTACATAATGTAGAAAAATCAATAAAGTTAATATGTTTTTACATCTATCTGCCGGCATTTCCATACAAAGTTGATTTTCTTTCTCATCCTCCCTCCCACTCCCCCTGGACCCCAGGAAAGCCCTTGCTTTCCGCTACCAAACCCGAAGCGGAAGCCATTCGGCCTCCTTCTGTCCGTAGATGTGATTAGCCGCGCGTTTTTCACTTCCGCAGCGCCGGTTTTTCTGTGCAAAACACGACTGGGTCGGATGAGGAACAAGTTCATTTGTGATTGTTGTCCCCCCCCCCTCCAACCTCTTCTACCCATTGCGCGAAACTAATCCAGTTACATTAAACACATCATGCACACCGTAATTACTAGTGACAACCGCCGCCCTCGAAAAGAACTCGAAATCGGCGGCAAGGACGTTACGCGGTCAACGTTTCGCGGTATCAAACGTATTCTGCCAAGGACTGGCAGTTTAGTTGGAATGAAACATAAAAGGACAAATTTCCTGGATAACATCTTGGCTCCGAAAGTTTTGTGCATTATCCAGACAAACTGCCGTTTTTTCGGTTTTCGTTACATGCAGGTGATAGTAAAAATAATTAAAAATAATTCCTAAAGCAGCCAGTGTTGCTCGTGTGGCGGCGCCGTTCCGCCGTTCCAGCAACGTGCCAGCGTCGTGCTGGAACCTCGGGTAAACGCTCCTCGTATTGATCGATCGAGCTTCCGGCACGGCGCTGGCACGGGTAACCACAAAGTAAAAAATGAAAAAGTGCGTTGAAATTCGATCTTCTCAAACCTAAAATCTGACTCCAAAGTTTTTGAAGTTTTGATCTTTGAGGTTTTTTAAGTACAAATTCTCAAGCATTAGCACTTGATCTAACCCAGTCTAGGACCGAACCCACTCTGATTACAAATGAAGCTACTCTGACTTATTTCGGCGTCTTCTTCCTAGCCATCAATCAAAATATTTTTACTGAATTCGCGTTGCATGCGGAACAAGCTTTGGAAGTAAAAATGCAAAAAGGGCATGATTACCAACATAAATACGCACTTTATGTGGTGCGACGAACCAAAATGAGAATATAGACGAAGAAAGTAGGAACACACTCGCAAACCAGATATGTATGGAACGTAACCATTTATTAGTTTTATTGTACTAGAAATTTGAAAAATATATCTTTGTTTATGATATTACCTTAATTTATTATTTCTATTTAATATAGTGCCTTAATTTATTATTTTTATCTTTATTTTATGAAATACAGCCAATAATAATTTTGACCCCAGCGTAAAGCAAATCTTGTAAAATATGATAAATGCGGAAATGAAAGAAGTGAAAAATTACCGTTAATTCAATGCCGTTACCAGGAACTGAGGAATTCAAGATTCTTTGTGCATTATCAATCAATTTAAAAATTCTTCGGATCTTGCTACTGGAACAAATTTTCAGCGCAAAATTTCTGTAAACTGTCGATGAATAAGAAAAATATATCGAAGTTTCGTATTTCCAGTTTCATCTGAGCCGTAAAAAGGTGGTCGCATGAAAGGATGCGACACATCTACAGAACGAAAATAAATTGGTTTTAGTCCATTTTTGAATTTTCAAGAATAATACATAGGTCCTAGAAAAATAGAAAATAAAACAAAAAGTCCAAAAACTATAAATAAAAAAATCAACATATGTATAAAATAAATTGAAACATGTTTGAATTTACAAAATAATTACCTGATGCTTCTTTGATGACTTAAAACACATTAGACGAGCCATTTGCGGAGTGATTGACGGTTTGACGTTTAACCAGTTCGATACGCTATGATAGCTGCATTGTTTGACACATTGTGCGATAGAAAATTCTGCAATGGAAGAAAAAACTACATTGGTATGCTGAAGACGCACTTCTCGACGATAATAACATGAAGTGCGAAGCACATGTTACACTGTGGTAACGTATTAAATGGTGCAAAATAGCATGAAGGAGTATGCGCTGTAAAATTCAAGAGAAGAAATGGAGAAAAAGAAACGGGAAAAATGAGGAAGTAGGTTTTCCCATTCGGGATCGAAGAAGTAGGAGAGAAGAAATGGGAAATTTGTGCCTTTCTGAAAATGAGTGCTCTTGAGCAGATTAGGAAAAAAATTGAATGCAAAGTTTCCACATCCTCCAGAGCTTCCAACTTGCCGAGAAATATTTTCTTAGCGAAGCACGAAAAAATCACACGCACTTACATTTTGCAATAAGCAATACCCCCTATAAATGTGTCACATAAGCCCTTAACCGTATACCTACCGTAATCTCGAGAAAGGCCCTACAGTATGTTGAACTTCATTTTGCAATGAGCAAGACGAACACCCTCCGTGAACAAAGCACTAGAGAGAACGTGAAGCGTTAGTACAGTGGCCTGCGAAGAGTTATGAGAGAGCATGCGATATGAGGAGGGCGCCAGGCGTGGTCCCAACGCGACGTTTCCGCGCATTTCTACAACTGTATAATGGGCGGGGTTGGAGCGTAGCTTGTAAGGTGAATGAAAAACGATAATGAATCTCTGTGTAGATAGCTAAGTATTCAAAAATTCTATGCTGCAAGATCAATCAAATTTTGCTTATTTATAGGGGTCAGTGAACAATTTTCGCAGCTAACGAGTTGAAAAATGCACAGAAATTAATCATGATTTTGTACTTTGTCTAACAAGGGCATTGTCCGCTTGTCTTTTTTGACATTTTTCCAAATTCTTCGCAAAACAGTCTTTTTCAGCTCTGAGATAATACAGCTAATCCATTACATTTCGATGCGATAAAATCAATCCGTAAAATAAAAATGTTGGGAGAAAATACAGAAAAATCAAGGTTGATACAGATTTAATCAAGCTCAGCTTAGTCAGAAGTTTTTGAAGCAGAAAATCCAAAAAATACTGTGCAGGGACATTTGCGGGCATATACCGTATGCCTACCGTAATCATGCGCTGCATGCAAGTGGTAAAAGTCTTCCTGCGCCATTTATATGCTGCGCGTTTTTTGTTTGGAATATTCGATCTACGCGATCAATATCGTATGTGGCAACTTTAAGCTAATTTACAAACTACGGTAGTATACTGTATTGTGCAAAAAGGTGTTTCTAGGTATAAAGCAGTGACAAAAAACAATTTTAAGGCAGTTTTTTTTCAGCAATTAGTTAATTTTAATTACAGGTAATTAGACAGGCGAAGCTAGGTACTGAAGTATACTGAAGTATACTGTAGTATACTGTAGCACCTGTAATGGGTCTCCAAGAGAAAAACGAAGATAAAAACCATTTCGTAGACATTCATTTGAGCAGAAATTAAACTGAGGGGCTTTCAAAGACAGGATTAGAAATAAAAGGTCACAGATACTATTAGGATCCCGACTGGTTACCATTGATTAGATAACCAAACCAGTTGTTGATTGCATTTTACAGTGGAATTTGAAATACTCCTCCGACTTAATAGATAATTTCATTTCTTATATAGTACTATTAACCACTAACTGCGCATCTAATGCCATTTTGAAAATTCAAATTGACTTACGACGAAAATTACAGAAAGAAAAACGTTTTCGTGGAGAGAAAGTGTCACATTAGATAGAGAATGTGGCATTGTCGAATTCACTATGTGCATTTGTCTGCGATAAGACTCGCAAAAAAAGCATGGATCAATGCATAAAGTAGAAGTTCGCCCTTGTCGTTTACAGATACCAATCGAAGTTTGCGTTTTCGGCTTTTTCGAAGAAAAAATATTGTCGCGTATAATTTATGGAGATGTGCATGGATGGTTCTAGTTCGAGGTCACGGAGGGGAGGGGGAGGAAGGGAGGGAGGAAGAAGCTTGCAAAAGGCGAAAGTACGTGTAAAATGCAAACAATTTGGAGAGCCCACCCACTTATGCCAACATGGCTATATCGTGTCGGGACCTGTAATGAGCAATGATGGAGTTGTGCGCCAAATTTGAGATTATCACTTTCTGCACCAAAGAACAGGAAAGCTGCGGAATATCTATTCCTACGAATTTCAAAACTTTTAATTTTCAATATAATGTTCGAAAATATGGCTCAAGTGTCCACGAAAATATCGAGCGTTCTCGCATTTTTGAGATGCAATGAATAGCGCGCATAGCAGTATGGATAGACAATAATGAGAGAAAAAGAGAAGAATGAGTGAGGAGTACACTGGAAAATGCAAGCAACTTGAAAACCCGTCTGCCATATCGTGTCAGGACCTGAACTGACCAATGAAGTGCAGCGTCTGTTCCGCGCGCGAAATTTGAAACTGTGTTTTCCGCTCGCACCACTGGTCTGAGTGCACATTTGAGAATCAAGCGATGCTATTAATTCCACCTAATCAAAAAACATTTAGTTTTGGTGTTTAAGATATAAGTGAGGTTGTAAAGCTTTCTGCAAATGGAAACCGGTCAAAAAGCAAGTTTGCTGAAATATGATCTGTCTAGCCCTTATAAATAAAACCTTTTGAAAGCTTGCAATTTTGCTAGATGAGGAGTTTGCCCACTTTCTTTACTATCCAGTTGTGTAGTTTATAAGAAGGGAATCGAAACTGGAAAAAGAAAGTTCGGAGGCATTCCTCTTCTAAATCAATGGAAGAACTTCAAACTGGACATTCTTAGAATGAGAATTTCGTAAATTCGAGTAAAGAAGAACTTGCGCTGACTCAATGTGGAATCTTCGCAACCAATAGCAACGCAGTAAATAATGACAAATGCAGGTATTTATCTGATTATTTATTCATTCTATAAGCTCGCGTGCTTCAAAGTCAAGGAAATACAAATCCAGAGATATAACATGCTTTTTTGAGATAATACAGTAAAAAGCAGTAATGCATTTCAGCATTCGAATTCAGCAAAAGTTTAAGCAATAAGTTTTGCTCAAGCAGACGTTGTAAGGAAACATGTATACACCCTTTGACTTAACTGGATTGGCGGCTGGAAGGCGGGGTTCTGTGACCTAATTAAAAACGCTCGCGCCCGCGACGCAGTCTGCGTGTCTTTCGCGCGCGTGCTCACTGATTATTCTCTAGCCTTAATTAGGTCTCGAAGCCCCGCCTTTCAGCCGCTCCAGTTGAATCAAAGGGTAGATATGTTTGAAAAGCGAATAAATGAAAGAATGTTTCTCTCAATTCTACTTCACCAGATACCACAGTGCCTACGATAAAAGGCGTAGGAAATACCTCTCCAAACTCGTTACGATGCCCATAGCAAAAGCACATTAAGTGCAGATCTTTTTCTATACTCCATTATGTGAGAGTGAGTGATAGGCTCCATCATCGTCGGCCTAACAAGTGCTTGTTAACTAAGATAGATTTCCTTACTAGCACAGAAAAATTTATCGAAGAAGTGAGGGCACCATTACTGTGTCGGAAAAAAGTGCAGGAAAGGAATTTTGTTTTTCAGGACAATGTCAAGGCAAATCCCTGGACTGTTTTTTATCATGACTACGAGACCTTACCAAGCCATTGCTCAAATGGTAGCTTCTAAGGGTCCGTTTGTGGCAGAGATACGCAACTTTAAACCCCAGTCCAAACCGTAATCTTGCAGCACCAATCAGCGTCCTCGGGTACGGAGGAGTACGGTCTGGGCTTAGAGTCCAACTATTTGGGCTAAAATTATAACACCCCCCCCCCCGCAGCTATTCTATTTGTATCACTGGCCATAGGTAACTCGTCCACGATTACCAGAAAAGGTTTTTAGAGAAAATTTCAACGTGTTTGTACTGTCCAAGATTTTTGTGCTAATATCTGTAACCGCACAATTTCCAGAATGTTGACGAGCAGAATAGACACAGAAGAAATCAAATATGGTCATGGAAACAGTACATGCCCGATTTAATAATGCAAAATGTGCAATTGCACATATAAAATTTACTTGAATGTACTTCGTGTGGCCCAAGTGATAAAGCCGAAAATTTGGGTGGACGTTGCCCAGGGATGACGAAAGTAGCAAAATTATGAATATTCGAAGTGCGGGCGCAAGCACTAGTACGAGTTCAGTGTGGAAGCAGGAAAAAACAAACTTAACGACGATCTGAAGCGATTGACGAATTGCGATGCTTGATGTGACTTGACGCGCACTAGATGCACTAGTGCACAGGAAAGTCGTGGAAAAAGTTCTGGAACTTTTCCAAACCACGCCCACTATCATCTCACTCAGCCGCGAGTACAATAGGCGCACAGCAGCAACAGGCTCTTCTATTTACACACATGCATCGCTCACACACAAACACACACAAGCAGAGTGAGTGAATTGAAGAAGATCTCGGACGGACAATGCGGCTAGCTAATGTTTTCCCCAATCTGAAAATCGCTGGAAATTTCCAGAATGATGGGAGAATATAGGCGTTACAGTTTTTCGAAAGCAGCGAAATTTCCCATGAGAGAGGGAGAAAAAGAGGGCTATTGTGCTACTTCAAGCGTCAAGTCTTTTTTCTCAAGAGATTTGGCTAAGGAGAAGAAAAGTGGTTTTATAAAAAGACTCTGGAAAGCCTAAGCTATAACCAGTTCATTGTCCAAAATGGCGAAAATATGGACTTTTCCTTGGAAATTTGATGACCACAAAATTCATAAATTTTTATAGATTACGGAATGAGACGGTTTTGCTGCAAAATATGATATATTCTCGAAAATATTGACGATAAGAATTCAAAAGAATGATATGTTGAGCAAATTCATTCCTCTAGATTAAGAGAATTATCAATGCGTGAAAATTCAAGGAATGCAAAATTCATTATGACTGGCATTCTTACGAAAAAATT